GAATACATTTGCGACGCAATCGTATTTCGTCGTCAACAACGCGAGCCAGGTGAAGATCACATCGTGATTCACGCGGTCTCCCGATGGTACCCGCATTGACACTATCTGTCATCGGAGACGCTTCAAATCACGACTATAGTCGCACGAAACGCGGAACGTCACGTTCTTCGACGTCCACCCCAACCGGAACAATCCGAACGATCGTATCTTCGTACTGCAACGATACGATCCGTTTCTCGACGATCGATGAGGTATCGTAAAAATATTCTCTCATGCTTCCACAGTGAATGAATCGCGACGTTGTGATACAATCTGAATTTCCCTTTGATTTACGTTACATGAGAAGCCGTGAAGCGATGAAGATCTGCTCGGAAATCACCCTACCGAATTACAGTTCTCATGCTCTGCAGATTAATTCGCGTGCTGATTTATCGCACTTATAATTACTCCGTCTGAAAAACCCTACAAAATAATCTGAAGCGCTTCAACAACACGAATAATATATTCATTATCGCATGTTTTTGACAGCTTGAACTTGACAAGCTGACACCTGAAGGCGTGGAAAACCTGCATGGTGGCTGTAAACAAAGAAGGATCGTCGGAGAAAATGGCTCTCTATCCATAGTATGGAGGATCGTCTAATCCCGGATGAGACGACGGATGTACGACGACGACGACGACGATGATGACGACGGCGGCGTCGGCGGCAGCGGAGACGGAGGTGGGTGCAGGAGACGGCGCAGACACATCTCTCGGATTACGTCTTAACAAGCTCCACGACGTTCATTTGTCTTATCCGCTGCCGCTAATGCGACAGCAGCTGTTGAAATGATTAATTCGGCGCGCAAGGCAAGGATGCCGCGTAGCGTTGCCGAGCGAATCCGCTCAGACTCTTCCTCTCTCTCTCTCTCCCTCTTCCTCTCTCTCTCTCCCTCTTCCTCTCTCTCTCTCTCTCTCTCTCTCTCTCTCTCTCTCTCTCTCTCTCTCTCGGCTTCGCAGTCGTAGACATGTCGCGGTTAATCAGCGCATTGCGGTTAATCACCGCCACCATTCGTAGTAAATACAAAACCCAAACGAATGAATAGATTCGGCGGGTGTAAACAAGTTTCGCCGAGCGAAGGTGGAAATGCGAAGCTACCGAGTCCGAAACGGAATAGCGAATTCGTCGCTTGTCGTATAATTTGGAATAACAATCATTTACATGCCTAGACTGTTGTTCGTAAATACTCTTATGCCATTGTAACAGACGATTGGCTCAGACAATTGTATGAAGAGTTTTTCGTTTCCAATCACTCATATCACGAAAGTTGTCGATATCTCGACATTTTGCTGCAAAGAAAAGCGGGAAACTTGAAGAAGTGATCTATTGGTATGAGACACATTCTATGCTTATACTAAACGTGACTGATCGATCCTCAGTTGGAATTGGACTCGGTTTTTCACGTGTGCTTTAAAAGCTCGATTGAACTGAATCGAATCTCAACCGCTGATAACCTCGTGACAATGATGTAACCGTGGCTAGATTCACCGGGTGAGATGTTCGACCGCACAATCGCTTATTGTCCATAGGGCTCCTAGGTGGAGAAACCCTACATCCACGCCGTGTCCGTACGCTGTCCAAACATTCCGCTCGTTGCGTCCGCACGCGCGCGATCCGATTGGATTAATTTTCAATTTGCAAGGGCCACCTGTCGTCGACAGCGGCGGGCAGAGGCTGATCGTCGATCACGTCCGCCGATCAATGACTAAGCCGCGAGACAGCGAGAGTCCGTGCGAACTTGGCTCGAACTGCGTCGAAGCGAACTCCTTGATTAGGGTTGCGTTTATGTGAACAAAGAAGCGCGAAGCGACGCGACAATTGCGCCTCGTCGCGCGGATATAGGGTTACACAAGCGCGCGGATAAAATGAGCGGCGAATATTAAGTCGGCGCGCAAAATGGCCGACGCGGCGGCAGCGGCGGCAGTAGTCGGATGAGAAAAAAAATAGGGACTGCGCTCGTGCCTCTTTCTCTCTCTTCTTCTCACATGCAACGAGCGAAGATGAGCGTGACGACCGTTCGCTCTACTCCGCTCCGCACCGCGTTACGACGTGACGCGGGTCGAAATTCTGCCAGATCGGGACCGCATGCGCGACGCGCGCCGATCGAAAGCCCCGCCCGGAGACTGCCTTTGTTTAATCCACACGGTATCTACGCCCACGATGACAGTAGTGTAACCTGAGGTTCTGTAAACCTCTCGCGAGTCCATAGAAAAGTCCGCGCGAAGAGGAGGAAATAAAAACGTAAAAAAATCGGGTATAAATAAAAGGAAAAAAAACGTAAAAATATGAGAATGAAGCATGATTGAAAGATGGTTCAATTGTATGATCTGCCGCACAAGGACGAGGCCTTTCAAAGTTCAAAAAAGTCTCCTCGTCATCTATCCTCTTTATTACGACATTTGATTGAGTGATTTTATGTCATGTTATTTTTATATTTTTTATATGCACGTTTTACCTGTTGTCAGATACACAAAGGCGAAAAGAGTAGCTTAAAAAGTAGCTGAGTTTTTTCTTTGCTATGGTTTTTCGAAACATCGGTTACGTCACCGTTCACGATGTACGAGTAATAAGCCGACTACACGAACTCGTCAGCAAACTTCTGATCATTTTCCTAATCTTACTCTAGACGATATACACAAGAGATTACCCGTTATTTTTTCACGATGAGCGATTACTTACAAGCCAACTTCGAGATTACTTGTCGCACCGAGAGTTCTGCGAACTTAGCGGATGAGATTGAAGGAAGAATGAGATCAATCCATAATTCATGAATCCACATTACAGAAAAAACTTTATATATAAAATACAGTTTACGAATTGTGAACTCATCTCATTCTTCCATTAAATTACTGAATAAAATATGATGATAGATGAATTCAGGAAAATTGATTTGTGACGCTGTACAGTCACAACTGGTAGCGTGGCCGAGCGGTCTAAGGCGCTGGTTTAAGGCACCAGTCTCTTCGGAGGCGTGGGTTCGAATCCCACCGCTGCCAATTTTTTGCACAAATCAAACAAATTTATTTTGTATGCGGTGAAAAGTAATAATCTACAATCTTTTTATATAGAAAGTCCGCGATGTAACATTCTTCACAAGTTGATGACAGCTTTGTGAAAATTTACCTGTTGCAGATAAACATTTATATCATTCAGTGTCACACGACTGTGTCGATAAAGCAGAATGCCAGGATTTAGAAAAAGATTTTTAATACTGATTTCGTTTACAGCACGAGATGAAACGTGTCGAACGCGAAAATGCCAATGACGTTTGCACTAAAGATATTACTTTACTAGAACTGTAAGTCAAAAGATACAGATATACAAAATTTCTCATAAATGTTTCATCTTTACATAAATATTAATAACAAATTAGAGAATAAGAATTATAAAGGCGGTTTTGAGCAACAAGAAAATGATCTTTCGGCATGAATCTAAAACTGAATCTGTGTGCCTAAAAATACTACGTTTCAAATGTAGATAAGATACAGACATAAATCTTGATCTGGGATCGACACCTACGGAAGAAGAGATTATTTAGTTCTGAAAGTGTGTGAGTCACAGATTTGTTGGAACGTGTTGGAACATAGGCTTCGCAATCATAAAGATAAATATAGCTAAGCTATACGTCACGCCGGCAAGTTGAAGTGAGATAGCGTGTGTATAGTTCAACAACGGTCCACAGTTCAACAGCAGTCGGCTGACAATTTAAACTTTCCACGAGACATCTTGTACGACGATCATTTGTAAAGAAGAAGAAAGAACTGTTGTGTGTTAGAAATCAAAGCGAGTGAATAACGGTTCAGCATCGACAAAATGTTTCTCGTGAATGGAGCTTCTGAATGACACTTTTGGATTGTACGTTATATCATTTAATATAGCATGTGACAAATTTCTTTTCGTTGTATAAATTACTGTTGTATCTTTTGATCTGCGATAAAAGAAGCGTATGATTTTGATTCATATTTTCTTGAAATTGAATGCGTAAGTCTATCTATTTATTGATTTGAAATTAAGAGAGAAAGAGAGAGAAAGAGATTATTTCAATATATTATATAAAACATATATTAGTACATATTAATGGAATAAGTTTCATGAGTATATCTCACAACTTTTGCATAATATTCATAATTCATGTTCTATTTTGTTCTCTTTTTTAGCAACTAGTTCGCCATTACCGGAGCTGAATATCAATGATGGATTTATAAATGTCGAAACGTCATGCTTATGAAGAAAAATGTGCCTGTGGAAGAAACTCATCACACACATATCCTGGAATATATCAACGAAATCGTTTACGAAACGATACGTCTACTCAGCGGGGACAAATTCGACAAGGAGATACCTTGTTAGCCTCCACTCTTGTACGATCGAGAAGTCCAACCAATGATATCCGTTCCACGACCAGCGATAATGTGCAATTCCACGTTAATGAACCGCTAGATAACAATCTTCATCGTGTTTCGTTGCGTCATTCTCAGCGCGTAACTTGTTTAAAACTGTGCACTGAAAGAGTCTAGTCGGATCTTTCGCTGTCAGTGTCCTACTGTTGTGTTCTATGAGCGATCGATGCTCTGTTTCATTATCAGTGTTACTGTGCTGTTGTCCTAAGAAGGAAGCAAAATAGGAAGATCGTGTCATGAGATAAAAAATAGCGCGCTTTAATTGAGAGTCGTTACCATGCCCAACGATTGTGATTTGTCTCTCGTATAAATCGCTCAATCACATTGCGATTCTGTGAGGTGTACCCATTGATACTGTATGAAACGATATTTCATTCTCGAAAGAGTACGGAAACTTTTGCGAAAAACGAAACGCACGACATCACGACCCGGAGCGCGATATCGCGCGCGCGCTTTCTCTCTCTCTCTCTCTCTCTCTCTCTCTCTCTCTCTCTCTCTCTCTCTCTCTCTCTCTCTCTCTCTCTCTCTCTCTCTCTCTCTCTCTCTCTCTCTCTCTCTCCTCTCTTTCTCTGCTTCAAATGCGTGACGAGACGCACGTGTCGCCGACGTGCGTACACATAAGCGCTCAGGCACTTCAGTTTGTTGTTTGTACAGAAGACTTTCGAGTGTCATTATAAGAAACGGAACAGGTTTCCGTCGGGAGTTCTGCTTGACATAGTTGCACCGGCATACCGGGCTTCAATCACATCTTGATTCTTCGATCGCGATCGTGCGATCATCATGGACGACAGGATCGTGAGTGTGTCTACGTTCGAGACGATTCAGCTACACTTCTTGTCCTTCATTTATGGCATCTACTTGATCGCCAAGCGGCTACTCAAATGGGCATGGGATCCCAAGAATTTCTTCGTGTTGCGACAACGAGACCGGCCGCCGATGTGTTTGATCGACAGTAGCCTTGGCACACATTCCTACGTGAAAATCAAGGTGAGAAAATTATATTGCAAACCTGTGGTCTTGTGACGTGTATCCATGTGAGCGATATTGGTTCTCTTCGGGTGGCGTGAATATATGTTAACATGAGATACAAGCGAAATGTATTTCTTCGTGACCCCAACGATAACTCGTGATGGTACGGTCGGTTCAACAGACTGTTCTCGAAACGACTCGCATCCCTATGGTAGCTTCAAGATCGCTGTGACTGAACACTCGTAGCGACATTGGATTTTTTATCTGATGTAACCTGAGAGTTCGATGCAAGAATAAACGAGGTTATTATTTGTAAAAATTGCTTCAGATATGATTTATATTTAAAACGAATTGTAGACTTCATTTTTACAGCGAAGCTTTCGAATCTCTGACCATTGTGTCGAACGATGTGAGCCGAATTCTTCATGCTTATGTCATCTCAAACGTTGTAACGATATAATTTGTTATAACGATATAATTTAATCCAGACGAATTATATCACTGTCCGATATGAAATCGTCCGATGAAATCGTAGCGCCGGTCTCATGTCATGATATCAGAGTGTCATGATATGTCATATCACAAGTGCAGATGACACTCAGGAACGATGTAAAAAGCGTTAAGAGAATAAAACGTGCACGACGGATGGTTTACAGCATCCCGATCAGAAAACGGTCTCTGAGATAAGCGACTATATTTAACTGATTTTCGTTTCTTTTTTTAACGCAGTTTATTATAAACTTCTGATACTAATTATCAAGGCAGACCTAAATAACAGAGAAATTTGACGTGCATTACACACGTTATGTGCCACAATACATGATATGTGTAATAACAATTTTTTTATGACAATGATAATCAAGTTCATAAATCTTGACAAGACTTGTGCGTAAATTTTCCGCTAGCTTTGTCAGGTGCATTTTCCTGCGAAAGTTAACATTGTCCCTTAAACGACGAGTGCAACCTAATTAAGAGGTGATATTTATAAAGTAGACAATTACAAGTTCATTGTCTGCCTTTTTATTCACAAATTTGAAAAATGCAATGATATCGAATTGTTTAGTCTAGAAAGCAGGCCTTTGATCAGAAAAAAGTTACGAAGATCATGTTACCAGAGAAAATGAATCATAATATTGGAAGTTGAATTTACGAAGGAGTTTGATTTAATTTACTTCATGATGCACGGAACGCATTCATAACACTTATCGTAATTATAGTGATATCGTTACTTTACGTTTTGGACGGTGCATACTCGCAAAATGAGCAATGATAAGGAGATACAATAAATTTCATAAAATAACAAGATATCGCGCAAGAAAAGAATACATATTTTTAAAATTTATTTCTTTTGTTTGATACAAATCGATCAGTATTAAAGAAGAAAGTATTGCAATTAATGGGACATGTTTTGTGTGCGTGTGTGTGTGTGTGTGTGTGTGTGTCAATGAAAATAAGCGAAAAATACAGATATGTATTTTTGTCTTAACATGCTTAACATGTTTTTAATCTCTTTTTATTTTAGGGCGTTAAATTTCATTATCTAGAAGCAGGGCTTAAGGATAAACCGTTGGTGTTATTGCTACATGGATTCCCAGATTGCTGGTTATCCTGGCGCGAACAGATCCGTTGTCTCGCGGAACATTACAGGTGTTTTTCTTTTTTATAGATATACTTATGCGACGCATTACGCAACACTTCGATATGTCGATTGTAATACATATTTTGTGTCATTTTAGAGTAGTGGCTTTGGATTTAAAGGGATTTGGCGATAGTGATAAGCCGTCCAACAAGCGATCTTACAAAGTAGAAATCATAATCAACGAATTAAAGCAATTCATTTTAGCTCTCGGCGTAAAAACGTGCAGTATAATCGGTCATGATCTAGGAGGGCTTCTAGGATGGTATATGGTTGCTCTTCACGGGGATCTCATTTACAAATTTGTAGCTATTTCGAGTCCTCATCCTAATCTCTATTGGAACAGAGTGTCGGGAAATTCCACGTTGGATAGAAAGTGAGTGCATTTATAAATATCTCGGGGATTATATCTGCTGTATTAACAGCTTCCGGGTATTATAATAACATATATTAATTATATAATTTAACATTCCAGATGGATACATTTTAGCAGATTGCCATTTCTACCAGAAATAGACGCACTTAAGGAAGACTTATCAATCATCAATGATACATTTCAACATCTTCAGATACGAAACGAACTCGACAAAAAATATGTTGAGGCATATAAATATACCTTCAGCAGAAAAGGTAAATTAGTGTTCATACGATATTATCATCCTTCTTCAATCGTTTTTACACATATAAATGACCAAAATTGTATTTTATAGAGGACTGGACGGGACCAATTAATTATTACCGCAATTTCCCATTCATAAAATTGAACATACATGAACAGATTGACAACAAGATGTTACTGATAGTCGGAAATATGGATCCCTTAGTAACGATAGAAACTGTCATTCAAAGTTCCGAATATGCAGAAACATCCAGCGTTAAAGTTATACCGGGTGCACAGCATTTCCCGCATCAGGAAAAACCGGATGCTGTAAATAATGCAATTATTAAATTCTTGATAGGTAAGTTTTATTTTAATCAATATTCTCTCTCATATAAAGTTTTCTTTCTTCTATATAAAAACTATATTATTCTCTCTCGTCGAGTGCAGATGTGTAACAATGTATTTTACATCTTGTACATCTAATTAAAAAATATTCCAGGTACAGTGTATACTATGGAGAAAACAGCTTCGAGGAGTATCATGTCTTCTTGGTTAGGATCCTTAAGTAACACTGTTAAGTATGGAAATCAGATGTTCGACGCTGTGCATAAGCGAACTAACGGTGTGGTGAGTGTATTGCCCAACAAAAATATCATATTCGGCTCCAATAAGTTAGGTATTATTACTTAGTATCAGCGTTATATATTCTCAGATTTTGCCCCTTGTTTCGAACGGTCTAGATATATCCTATCTGCTAACGCAGATGCACAAAATCTGCGAAAAGCTGATTTGAAGCTATTTATTAATTTTGTTCCTTTTTACATAAATGTCTTCACAATAGAAGGGTAACAATCTTCTAAATGATGATATTGCAATGTGTAAAGATTACTATTATATCCATTTTCACGCAAACGACATCATATTGTTTTATCTTGAATTTTTGTATATATTCGGATTGAGATCTATGTAAATGTAGTGAAAAGAAATTATTATTATACATAGTTACTTGGAGGCGTCAAAGTTCTTAAGGACTTATTTGTAATATAAAGTTATACGAAAAAGTTCCGTTATTTTAATTTTTAGTGGAAAATATTGATATATCTGATAGCATAATCTATTATTAATCATGTGTAATAAGCTGATATTTTTCGTCCATATTATATAATTTGTAATCTACAAAGTATATTAAGAGAATCAGAAGCATATTACTGCAACATATAAAACATAACTTATTATATAATATGTTATAGTAATAATTGTACATTTATTATAGACATTGCGGCAATGAGTAAGTAAAAAAATTCTTGCTGTATATTTGAATCTCAAATAAACACTATGTATGTTCATTGTGAATATTGTCTTTGTAATGATTTCGAACCAAGAGGTAATATTGTTAAATATTTGTGAAAGTATAAATTGTTAATGTAAATCGCGCAAAAAGATTTAATTTGCTTGTAAAACGCTTGAATGGTATAAAATTTTAACACTATAACAACATAAATACAATAACAATATAAATATATATGAAAGTTTCCTTTCTTTTTAAGCACAAAGTTTTTCAATTACATTATGATATATTCGAGAAAACGTGTGATAGACCATCATCAATCTCTTTTGCAGAGACAAGATATTAGATTCGATACTTTGATAATACAGACCAATTAGATCCTAATTAGATAAGCTTTAAAGCGCCATCTTAATATTTGATATCACATGACATTCAAATTCCAATTACCAGAAGCTATTGTATACCATTCATTACACATTTTGTACACCATCACGTTGACGCACGTTCTTTACCTTTTTTCCTGTAACATATAATATTTATTAGAGATACATGTACTCTAAAAGGCTTAACACCGATGAATGCCTGTAATAGAATTATTTGATATAACATTCACGTACTTTCCAAAATTTTCACCGTCTTCTATCGTCTCTGGCAATTCACAGTTCATTGTTTCTGGTAAAAGTAGACAGAGCACGGCGCCTATTAATGGTCCTACGCCAAATATTACTGGAGGTAGCCACGGTTGGATGTTAACCTGTAAATTATCGTATCTCTTTAATTATTAAGAACCAAAAGCACCAAAAGTTCATCTCAAATTTTTCATGTAGGTGTGATTAATGTATATACTTCATTATAAAACGCGCGGTATATGTGACGTGCATTATAATGCATATGCATATGTAAATTACCATCGTCGCTATGTACGGTGCGATAATACTTCCGATCCTGGCGGCAATGCTTCCCAAACCAACGCCAACGTTTCTCACGACGGTCGGATATACTTCGCCGCTGTACAAGTATATGGTGGGGAAACTGATGGCCATGCCTACGAGACCGAGCGAAGCTAAAAATACTCGGATATTCGTATCGGCCACCAGAGTTATTAGCAACAAGCTCACACCGGACAGGATGTTCCCGCCTATCAAGATCTTCAAACGAGAAACTCGTGATATTAGAAACAAGACTATCACAGTTCCCGGCAATTCCATGGCGGCTGAAATATCACACAGACATTGTGCTACGTGTCAAATATAAAAAACGATTCAACGTGGACATGGAAACTACGTGATGAATCACCTGAAATGGCGATGTTAATGAATATGTTGCCGTCGATGTAACCCATGTATTGCGCCAAACCGAAGAAGCAGCTGCCGCAGACGAACCAGTTGATCGCCACGCATATCGTCTTCAGTCTCATATTCGGAGTTCTGAATAAATGTGTAATATTGTATTTCTCGTTGTTCTTCCCCAGTCGGACCGCCGCCTGACTTTCGTGAGTCTCGAGGGCTAGTTTCACGTTCTCCATTGGTATCTTGTTCCGATTGGCGGCTTTCAGAAGAATCTGTTCTGCTTGTCTGGGTTTGCCCATAGCCAACAACCACCTCGGAGATTCTGGGATGACCCTATTTCGCAGAGAGCATCCGTTAATCCTTCGTCGTCACCGTTAAGTACGGTAAATATTTGGCAAATTTTATATCTGGCAAGAAGCGACTTTTGAGAGATAATGTTCAAAAGCTGTGAAAAGTCATAAGATGCTGCTTTAGCGATAATACAACACAACTGCTGTACGTACCAATAATATACTAATAGGAAAATCGAAGGTATCGAGACGGCCATTTGGAATCCTGACCATGTTCGTGTCAAATAGGATATTAACGGGTTCATGAGATGCCCGAACAAGAATGGCGCGTGGAACAGAACCGACATTGTCGACCGCCATTCAACCCCAATAATCTCCATAACTACAATTAATTAATCGATTAATTTCACGTACGTAGAGACGAGCTACGGCATCAATGTAGGACGCATTAGACTTACGCAAGACGAAGCTGACGAGCATCGTTCCACCAGTGGCTAAGGCGCAGATGAATCTCAGTACCAAAAACAATTCGTACCACGGTGCGAACGCGCTCGCGAATCCTGTGATCGATTGCAAGGCTATTGCAATCATCAACGGCTTCTTCCGGCCAATTCTGTGTAAAAAAAAACAGAATGACAAAAGGCCTTGGGTATGTATATAACTGTCATAATTATAGCGTTAAAGTGTAATATACCTGTCAGCCATCATGCTAAAGATTAAATTGCCAACTAGCACGCCAAACATTGTACAGGACTGCGCAACATTCGCTAATTGTTCTCTATCGCACACCAAGTCCCACTAAGAAAAAAAATTAAGGATCATTGTGCTTCAATTATTACAACTTGTGCTGTTTGTCAAATATTATGACGCCTTTTATTTTATTCGATTAAAAAGATATAATTACATGATGTACATTGTGCGTGCGTACAATTTAACAAACATGTAATTTTCATTCTTCTATATTATATCGGACACATTAGATAGTGGCATTACGCCATGCGACTCAAAAAACATGTAATTATCATTGTGTAAATCGTGTTGGGTAAATATTAAATTAAGCAGATGAAACGCTACGAACCTGCGTTATAATACTGTCTCGGAATATTCGCCTGTCATATCTAAAGCTGGTACATTTTTCCACAGTGCCGTTTCCTACATTCACCTCGCATCTCATAAACATGGATTCGTTTATGGCTGATAACGGCGTGGCACACGTAAAATTAGTGGGCGGTGCGAGGAACACGATGGAGAGTTGATGCCAGGCTACGGGGAATTTGACGAGAGAGATCGCTACCGCGATCACAATGTGCCATGGGCCCATGTGGCCCATGGCCTCCTGGATGGCATCCAACGGCACGAGACCTGGAAGAACACAATGTGTCCGATATGAAAAATGAAAGTGGCGTTTAGATCGCGTCAGAGCGGCGTGGCGTAAGTGTGCGATTATGCTTTATTGCGACTAACACACGAGACAAATCATTGTTCTATGCACATCGGGAAAATTATCCCGACACGCAACAGCTGCGATACATCTTCTAAGCAAAACTCATCCGTCGCGTTTGCTCACACTGTACTGCTGCGAGATGAGTGAAGCGCTACGAGATGTACAACTATAAGGGATATTAATAATGTTTCGACAGGATATTAGCTTCTATCGATCGTCCTTGTGTTCTAGTTTAAACCGCAGCCTCCGCAAAGCTGATCCGATAATATAAGATATTGAATTTCCGCGTTAACTCTACGATTGCTAGCTGTTAATCTCGATCCCCATCAGACGTTATTCTCAGGCTGTTCAAACAGCTTCCAAATCGATTGATAAAATCGATCGAAGAGAGTGATGGATGAACCATCTCCGGCCAAACCAAGCGTTGACTCGGAGACGTGGAATCTCGCGAAGCGAAAACGAAACCACTTATCTCGGACTGTATAACTATTAATACCAGCCACACGGGTCTCGGAGCTTTAGCAAGCTTCAAGCTTGCGAGAATTCGATTTAAATTTCTATCGCAGCATCTGCGCGAGATTTACAAGAATCTCAGATAGCCCATCGATTACGTACTATATGCGACATATGTATCGGCAACCGCAATGGGATTCATCGCGATAAGCAACCGCAACGACTGAATGAAAAACTCCACGAATATGCGAAACCGGTATTACCTAATAGGCCTCTGTGGTTGGTGATGTAATTCGGTAAATTATCGGTGTCATTGTACTGGCGCGATACACGTGAGCACATCTATGCATATCGCCGCTTGCAGTAACGATACTCGACGATGTATCTGAGATTGTAACATGGTAAGCGTACGCAAACCGCAACAGTAGCCGTCATGTTGGCTTGCACATAGAACATGCGGCCACCTCGGCGCGCAATTACGTAAGCTACATACGCAACTTCGGGAATTTATGATATTAAAATGTATATCGCGATGAATTAACGAGAAATACGGAGAGAATATGTGCATTAGTAAGGGAAGTTTAAACAACGTCAGGAAAATCACCATCAGCTGGTGCAAACGCACAGAACACGGCGCACCAATGTGACGTAGTCGCGCGAGAAGGGAATAACAATTTGTCATTATACGCTACATGGAATTGAGAGTATATCATGGCTCTTTAGCAATGAACGCGTCATGTTGGCGAGAGTTATTCGCAGAAAGCCAGCGAAGTACACCGCAAGTCTGTATCGCATTTGGACGATAAATAAGTGCAACCGCATTCGTTTCCGCACGTATTAAACAGCGCATGTGTGAGAGTGCATTCGATTTCTCATATGGAATGGAAGTGCATAACAATATGTTTAACATCGCGCGTATACTTCACATGTGGTCCGTAAAAGGCATCCTCCTTGCTTGAAAATACGCTGCTTCCCAAGCGTATACATGATGAAACACTGATGTCATACGTAGAGACTCGATCTTTGTTTTCCGCGAGACGGTTCGATTATTCCAATGAGGAAAATGTACGTAGAAGATTATATCGACGTGTGACGCGCCAAAAAAACAATTACGTATCATATGCGTGCGTGTGTATGTGCGTGCGTAAGTGAGCACGCAGAAATTTAATATCCACGAAAGATAACGATAATCAAGTGTCTATATACACAAAAGAGACTACCAAAAATTATCAAGATATCATATCATTATTCTAATTATCCATCCATTTGCATACTCTGCGGTATCTTGCGTTTATGAGTCGCTCGCAGAGTTTTATGTAAGATAGAATTAACGTATCTGGATTGTGTTTGCACAATAATTCGAATTATCTACCGCATATTGATAGACTAAGGATTGTACGAAATTTGTGTGCATAGTGTTTGATGGAATTCACTTACGTTCCTCGGCCGTTTTTCCGTTGTTCTGAGAATGAATATCGTTACTTGCAACGTTAAAAGAATTTGACATCTTGTTCCGTTTAACAAATCGATCTAAAATGCTCATTGCAGAATGCAAATCACATTCGTAATTTTTATTTCGCGGGAGCGAAATAAAAATGTAAGAGCTACCAATTAGCTGATGTTGATATTAAAATACACGAAAAACAATCCGTTCTTGCAAATGAAATGCCATGCATTTATGCCGTGTTCAAAGTAAGAAATGCAACTAGTGGAATCTATGCGCGCACAAGTAGAACTACAAGTCATGCAAAAATATTTAATTTTAAAACAGCGACGAAGCCTCGCGTCGATAAGTTTGCTTAATTTATTAAAAAGATCATTTTTATTGAATGCGCGACGAACTTCATTTTCTTTTATTTTTCTAACTTTATTAACTTTATTAAAACAATCAAATCACATCGTTATGATCTCATATAAAAGTCACACTATTGTCCTTTCAGATAAAAGAATAGATCTCATCAGACATTTTCTCTTAAGAAATAACAAAATTCTCACTTTCTGCGTGCGTCTTTATGCCCGTATATATTCAAAACATATGTAGAGATTAAATATTGTTCCTCGCATAATATTGTACAAATATTATCTTCTAAAATACGATTCGGATTTTCTCGTCGGGATACGTTCGCGCTCATGTTTTGAAGTAAATACGAAAAGACATTGCAAAATATTTCGGTAATGATATCAAAATTTCCGTGTTCCGAAATCACATTAACGATGACGTTAATTTATTGATACAATTTATTTAATAAGACGAAAATATGCGTATTATAATATTCTAATCAGTATATACTAACTCCGCAGATTAAGAAAACAAATAATAATAATGATGACAGCATTATTGAACAAAATATATTTGTAGTTAATAAAAATATTATTGATACGAACTCTGCTCAAATGTTAAGCGTGGCAAACAGTAGCTTTGTTTATTTTCGATGAACTTCTGCGATAATATATGAGCTATAGTGCGATATGTTGGAGTGAAATAAGTATACTTCCCTTCACTCCAGCTTATTGCACAGTGTGCCTTCTAGTTTAGTTCTACGAAGATGAATGGACCTAGTAATAGCGGCATTACCTAGTTCGTGCCAATTTTTCTCGATGTCGTGAAGCATGTCTTCAGTTTATGTTCTTTACTGCTAAGAGACAACAATGACAACGAATATCTGCTGCAAAGTATATAGGGAAATATGCATTAGCATTACAACATTACTGCTGCTGCGTGATATGTAATCGTTTGACGATAATTTTAACTGCGCAGAGTTGCAATTGTTTTTAAATGAAACTGAAGATAAAATCGTCGTTCTTTCCTTGACAGTTGTGAAGTGAAAATATTCGCAAAACAAAGTACGGACTAATGGAGTAACTGACTATTCAATATATGCGTTTGATAAAGATATACATCGATTATCAGTGAAAATGTTGTATATCATCCGCGACCTATAAATAGAATAACTTGTGACATATTTTCTATTGCGTGATAAAACGGAAAAAGAAAAACAGAGTGGTTTAAAGTTTCGCATCATTTACGAGTAATGAAATATTAAATCAATTAATAGTACACATTATACTATAAACGACAATTCGTCTCTATTAGAAGGTCATTAATCGTCGCACGTAAAAAATAATAGTCAGATTTCTCCGAGCAAGTTGGAAATTTTTGACATGAATAATGATAATTTGCGATATAATTGTGTATGGTGACGTAACATACCGAAGTATTTTCAATCCGAAACGCAATATGAATAATTTATGCAGTATATTGTGCGATATGCCTGATGAATAATGGATATTACGAAAATTATTTCCGATGAAACGAAGAAACATCGATATTCAATTAATTATATACTTAGCGGTAATATGCGTTTCTTTAAATGATAATTTCATCGTGCACGACGAGCGAGCGAGTAAGCGAACGAACGAACAGACGGACGGTGTGCAATCATCTGACCGAGCGATTGAAATCACACGTTTAGAGGGAGCAATTAGGTATAATTTAGCTCATATGTCGAAGATCAGTTTGTGAAGTGAAAATATTCGCAAACCAAAGTACGGAGTGACTGACAATTCAATATATGCGTCTGATAAAGTCTGATATACATCGCTCATCAGTGCAGACATTGTATATCATCCGTCGTGACCTATATTAAAATCGAATAACTTGTGACATATTTTCTATTGCGTGATAAAACGGAAAAAGGAAAATAGAACGTCGGGAAACGCTCGTTAACGTATGTTACACACTGTTTAAATCACGCAGTGTTAAATTGCGGTCACGACGAGAACAGCAGAGACACGCACAATTTCGATCCTCGCGAAAACTGCATTCGGCTAAGCAATCGTCACGGCGTGTGCATCCCGATGATGTAATTAAAGACACGCTTTTCATTCGTACTGTCACGGCCGTTTCAAGTGTATATTTAGCACTTGTTCTCGGTCGAGCTTTCTCACGCATGGATAATTCACGACAGAGTCGTCCGAGTCGCAGGTTGACTTACCTTTCATCGTTTGACCGGTGCTTTTTACCTACGCTACCACTGTCTCTCTCGTCTGTATGGCGAATTTATTTTCGGCGAACGCGACACGATACGATGCTCCGCACTGTCGCCGTATACTACCGTGTCGAGCGTGCGAGAGACCGAAGCAAACTAAAAACAGAACTTAATTTTCCCACCATTCTGCCTTATCGACTTAGCGGAAGGGTGGATGCGGAGCACAAGCGCGCGCATTCGCGAGCGTGACACCTTTTCACCGCTGCACAAATTTACGCCGATCATTATCTACTTATCGCATAAATACCTCTTGTCGTCTCAATAACAGCTGATTTATTGCAATGTTCTCAAAGGCTTCCTCAATGCTATACTTCGGAGTTACGAAGTCAATTTCTCTCGTCATATTTTTAACATCGGTACAATTGATTTCTCACTTCGTGAATCCTCTTTTAATATACATATAACGGAACACAAATATAAATAAATATACAAGTGTACAAACGAAAAAGAAAGGAATCATTCGTATCCCTTTAATCTTGTTTAATTTCGTGAGAATAAAAAGCGCGATAATAATAAAACTTATCGCGTATATTAAAACGATCGATTAAGCAAGTATTAAAATGTGATTTCCATTTAACCGTTTGGGACAAAATTTACTTGTCGTACGCGAATTCACTAAGGATGCTGGCAGTGGATCGTTTTGTTTCGTGCTCGTCCTCAGGATTCGACAATTTTCGTTTCTTATCCTCCCTCGTTGTCGAGCCTGTCACAGTGTCCGAACTCGGCTGCTTCGTCTGCTCTTTGAATCGCGTTAAGCCGATTTTCGTTAACTCGGGAATACTTAGTTCGGGAAATTCTTCCTGCAGATTCTTCTTGTTCTTGGCGTACCAGTTAACGAACGATTCTTTCTTAGGGCCATCTTTTGATTTCGGCTTGGCCATCACGGATTTTATTGGCGCAACCTTCTGAGGTTTCTCCGGCAAATTGTTCAAGCCAGCTAAACCTACCATAATAAGATCAAATGAACAAATATTCCTAATGATGAAGTGACATTGGTAAAAGAAAAGATTAAATATCATCTATGAAATATCAGGAAGGAGCAAGAACTTGAATCATAAGTGTTAATGCGTGTGGATATGTTCGTTTGTTCTATTGAAGAGAACCCGAAGTACATCGAAACATTTGATGCCAACTTGGACGTTTTGTATGTATCTACATTACATCCGTAAAATTGTAACATATCGATACGTGTGGCATCTGTGATTCGAATTCTTATTTATATTTTTATTAATTACAATCATCTAATCATACGTTTGCGGATCGTTACATTATGCGTTACATTATACATATAAACCTTCAGCAATTATTACCACAAGCTTCGCTTACCTCTCGCCGATGGAGAAGAGTTTTCCGATTTTAAAAATGGATTCACTCTCCTCAATGTCTGGCTCATCGCCAACGGCTTGATCTCCACTTCTGGTTTCTTAATAGCTGGTAATGGCACATCGTCTGTCTCCTCATCGTGGATATTATTAGAATCGTCATTCGTGAAATTGTCCTGATGATTCTCCGTGTTTTCCTTCTCCTTCTTTTCCTCCTTCATATCGGCGATCGACTCCAGCTTACTCGCCAACGCTCTTTTATTGATACGCCTGGCGTATTTGATAGCCATATCTATCGCCTCCACGGAAGCGATTTGCTCGCAGATATCCACCGCGCGATATTCCAGATTGTTTCGACAGGCGTGCTAATTGCCAAAACAATCAATCAATACTCAACTTTCACTCGAAAGTTGTAAGAAGCATGAGAGGTTCAAAGAGTCTGAAAAGCATTCACAGATTGCTTACCGCTATTAGAATTAATATTGCTTCAGTCTCGTCCAACGGACTGCTGCCTATCTGCCACAATTTGCGTTCCTTCTCCGTCCTCTCAGATTCCGGTTCGCAAAGAGGCACGGAGAACGGCACCTCGGTGACTATCGGCCGTGGTGTTGTGGGTGGGTAAAAACCACCTTTACACAGGATGCAGCGCATAATTTGCTCCCGTTCACTCACACCGATCACGAAGTAATGATCCGACTTGCCCTTGTTCTAAGAGATCAGATGAAGAGACGACAGATTATAAGCACTAGGAAGTAATCGAGAAATTTGCGTAAAACCTACCGTTATATTCGTATCGCATACCACTCTCCATAGGCAAGACCTTTTGTCGTATATCCTAACAACATCATCGGCATCCATGGTGATGGGAGAGCCAACGTCGGAGGTCAATCCCAACCACATGAGATCCGAACTTGGAGACAAAGGTACCGTCAGGGTTTGACTTCGTAAGGAGACTCCTTGCACTTGTATCCACAGTAGGTTTATATGCTGATCGCCGTTCGTACCTATTCACTCAAGAAACGGATTCGTAATTGGAAGCTTCAGGATGCCAGTTTGTCATCGCGATAATATGTGTTTACTCACCAACTGCGGTATGATAAGCTATTAGAAGGTGATTTCTCAAACCGTTCATCGTAACCACGCGCCCGGGCAAACCTATGACCTCGCGCTGCGTGCCACCTATCATAAATATCCTTAAATTTCTTCTAGATGTAGCGGCCGCTACGAAATTGTCGCCGGCCGCTATACACTCCACTTGTTCGTCCTCCGGCATATCCATGGACCACTCCTTATTTCCGGTGCCCCAACCTGATGCACGAAGGAATTATTGAGTTTGTTAGATATGATTTCAACTTTGCATACAAATTTTTTGTATGCAAAATATTGCACTATAGAAATTACAACTGATCAACCTTGTAGAGCCAACACGACTATTTTACTAGGACTATCCTCCAAGGCTTGGCAGCTCATTGCGAGTGCTTGAGCAGATAAAGCAGCCATAGTGTGCTTCATATAATTGTTGATATGCATGCTACGATGAATCGTAGCGTCGTGAAATTCCACTTCAATGCTGCTATCTTTCTCGTCGTCCACTGAGAAACTCCGGACCATACCCACATCATTCCACACCTGGAAACGTCTAAAATTTAGTCTCAAAATTTAGTGATGTTTACAAGAGTATACAAAGTAAAAATGTCATTGTTATACTACACCATGTAGTAGGACAATAAATGAGAGGGTGTCGAGCTTGGTTGAAAACACGATTGTAGATCGGCCACGATTTTCATATTATTCGCAGGTGCATCGGAGCTGCCATCGTCGGAATCTTCGTTTTCGTTATCTTGCAAATTAGCAGAAGCCTTAATTTTATCCAAAGATATCGCATTTTCCTCGTTGTCGTCCTCTTCGACGTCCTCTACTCGATCTTTTGTTATGTATTCATTTTTCTCCAAATCTGGGATTGCTTCAATCTCAGATTTATCAGGGCTTATCTAGAGAAATTAAGAATCAGTATCTTTCCAAACAAGTTCATAAAATTTTGATAGATATATAAGTGTGGAGTATATGTTTTCTTACCACATCAATGCACCCTAATTTGCCAAGTGCATCACAGAATGCAATTTCATTGGAATGATCAAGGTGCCAAACTAACGCAGTGATTTTACTATTCTGTTCGTGTTCAAGATATCCAATCACATTTTTAGATTCTATATCCCATACAACTATTTCTCCATACAGTGAACTAGCAGCAACACGTGTGCCACATTCGGAAAATTTACAAATGCTGAAATCCTATAAAAACAAGAAAAGAATGATGATATATACGATCAATCATTATCATAACTAGATAAAACTAAAACAGCTTACAGCTTTCAAATTAGGATATTTTAGTCTATACAATTCCCTCCAGGATGATCTCTCCACTATTACTACATCTTTGTTGGATGGATATGCGAGACAGCTACCATCTGTACATTTAAAAGATGGTGTGCAATATGATTTTGCAGTAAAAAATGAATTACATTTTGGCACAATATTATTCCAAATGTGTGTAGCTCGCTTCTCTTTAATATTCCATATTCGAATGGATCCATCTGCACTAGAGGATGCCTAAAAAAATGATATTTTAAGTAATTCAAAATATTATGATTTTATAATTTATAATCATTAAGTTATCAAAACAATAAAAAATTATTGCAGATAAAATATATAATATTTACCACAAATTCTTCTTTTGGATCTAACGACAAGCCCAAGATAGGTGCTTCATGTCCCTCTAATTCTGTGCTATCTAATGTATTGATGTTTGTGACTTGTATTCGCATATCACTTGAAAAATATCCAGTTGTCAAGAATTAATTAATTTCTCTCTGTGCAAATAACATGAATTTTTAAGCACTGTATATATCACATACCAGGATCCAGATGCTATCAAGTTACTGTCTTTTGCTGTGGCCAATGCTGAGACTGGTGCTGAAAATCTAGTTACTATTCCTTCCTTCTCTAAGTCAGGATAAGTGAGTATTTGTACTGTATTATTATCATTACCTACAAAAATCTTGCCATTCTATATAAAATCATAAATATTTATTAGATATAAAACTCTTTCATTTGTAACTTCAAGATTTCTTTTCATATAGAATTTCTTTTGTTTAGAGACATTTAAATTCTTTTTGCTATTATAACTTACGCTTTATAGTTATTGATTACCTTTGAAATTGCTGTAATTGCTTGTTCAGAGATACAACTAGTGGTTGGATCATCGTCTACTATATTCAACCAGGATCTAACATCTCCATCACAGCCACAAGTAATTAGTCCTCTCCTACAATTACAAATATTACAAGAATGACTCTATTCAAACATTACACAAATGATAAATAATATATTATTTTATTTACTTTTGGCCGGAATAATAACAAACATCAGTGTGTCCTTCTTGATGAGCATATCGCATAGGATTTTTTTTTAGCGACATTTTAATTAATTGTTAAAATTCAAACCATCAAATATTACAATAATATATTTGTATATTTTGTTACTTCTCACATACAATCACTCTACTCCAGTCAGCTCAAGCGCATTTTGGCGCCCGCTGCAAGACGTACACGACAATCTAATGTCTGGTTTCACGTCTTTTATAGTTCTTCAAATTAATTGTATACTCGTATAATACAGTTGCTTCACATTACGAAAGATGTCCTCACAATTTTCTCTTCCTCCGTACCAGCAGAGAGAAATCTGAAAGCGGATAATCCAGGATAACCCCAAAGAGAAACCTGAAAGCGGCCAACACGGCATTTTCTGCGAGACTGACTTTCCGCACTGGGAAAGGACGCCATCTGCATCTATTTTCAGAGGGGAACTACGATGCTACATCCACTTTCAGGTCTCGGTGGTAAAATCTGCATGTGGTGGAAGTCTGTGCTACATCCATTTTCAGGCGGTTTATGTCCGTGCTGCAGCCACAGTTGCCATCTCTATGCCAAACTATGCCGGGAGGTCTAAAAGTGCGGTGAGGAGGGAAGAGGAGCAGGAAAAATAAAAGTACGTATTAAATGTTAAATCTTCGAATATATGTTGCTGTATCAAAGTGCAGCTCGAATTTGACGCGTCTGAAGACGCATGATGTATCGTTACCCGCGTCCCGTTTCCTTCGTCTTGCTTCTTAATTCAGCACCCCGTCCGCTCCGGACATTCGCTCGTGGCACTGACAGTGGCTGTCGGTGAGCATTCGATCCGCTCGGAGGAGCACGTGTTAATTAACGCGTTAATTAACGTGTTAATTAACGCGACGAGACTCCGATTATAAATATCCCGCGAGTCGACGAAATATCTGAACTTTTAAAAAAAGCAACAAAGAAAATCACGTTGATGTTGTCATGGGTGAAATCTCACCCTGGTATATATTATATATTATTTTATTTTCGAAATAAAAAATGTCAAACGAATGCAATTAAATGTTATTTATTATCATTGAATATTAGATGAAAAGTAGAAGACTTATTGTCCGCAGCGGATAATCTAACATTTAATAAGAACGAGACAAAATTCGCATGTCAATAGAGACGGTTTAAATTCGGCGTAATATGATTCTTGGGACAGACGTAAAGTATTACGAAGTTTGAAGCGAATCTCTTACAGGCATGCTTTGAAAATACGAGTTGTTTTCATTTTCAGCTAACGGACGACGCAGGCATCAACACTGATCGGCAAAGTGGGGGGTAACCGTGCCTTCCCGATTGTTTGTTTTCATACGCTTATACATGACTCCGTGATTGCGGAAAGGACATTGCGCCTCGGGCCGACGAACGACGCGCATACCGCGACGCAGAGTACGAGTGTCGGTAGTCGTATCGGTTAATACGCGTTTCTTTGTCCGAATCTTACTTGCGCGAGTGTTAGAGCTAGAGTCAGTGTCGTCGCCAGTGCTACGATGGAGTATCCGGGGGTGCTGCGACGGAGTAACCAGAAGGAGGACGTCGGATCGAGAAGTCAGGATGCAGAGAAGACTTGGAGCGCGCCGAGAGACGTGGACAGCGATACATCATATATGGTATTCGAGGTATCTCGAGTCATTATTATTACGCAAGATTTTTCTGATTTTAACGGACCTTATTCGAAGTAAGGACATACCCGAGTCGAAATTAGATCAGCATTCACAGTTTATCATCTGAAAAATAGCTTGAAATTTGATTATTCGTTAAACTAATTTCACGTAACATGAGTTCTACTTTTCTTTTCTCATAAAATATGAATGTCTATTCAAGCAAGATTGCTAAGGCAAGCTAAGGTTTATGAATACAAATTTGTTATGTTCTCAATGAAAAATTGCACATAATTTAAAAAACTATGAATAATGATCTTAGAATCTGATATAAATTTTACAAGTATTGATTTTTATTCGTCTAATAATGCTCAGATTGCTGTTTCCCTTTAGAATCTGCTAGAATGTCCGTTCCTCATTCTTGTTTATCTTTCTTATTGTACCGAATTAGAATTAAAATCTCTATTAGTGAAACAGCATTATTAGACATAACAGTTGTCTTTTTGCAGCTTCAGCTCTTTTGAGAGCTACAATTCTCATCATTCTCATTAGAAAAAAGAAAAGAAAAAAAAGAGAAGAAAAAAGAAAAAAGAACTTTAAGAATGATGAGAATAAAAAGTGTTTTTCATCTCCCATTTCCTCTAATTCTTATATGATTATTTAATCCTTATATATTTATCTCACGCGCAGTTCTAACAAAGACAGTTCTATTTACGTGTTTATCTTTGTTCTCTTTCTTGCGCTGTTAAGCAAATATATAATCAATATCAACAAAAATTGCTCATTTAAATTAAGAATATAAGGATTAAGTACATATACATTATCGAGATAAACGAGTATTAAATAACTGCGGAATACGTCGCTGTTGAAGACTCATCATGGGCGAGACTGCGAGAGTAGCCAGATGTAACGTTCAGGTAAGACAAAGCTTGTTCACTATTGCGCATCTAGATATTCTGCAATGATTTTTCAAATTGGATGCAATTTGCAGGATCAATGTAGACTTAATATTTCGACTCGGGAAAGACTCGGGAATGAGAACGAATTGTCATTGCACTTGGACAATCTTCTGACACTGATTTATGGTATTGATCGATATTCGATTTTCAGTACTGATTTACTCTTTCATTCCTCTACAAGAAAACAAAATTGATACGACTCGTTCATATATCCGCGTTAATTTGATGAATAAATTAAATATTGATCGGTCCTCAATTTTCGGTACTGATTTATTCCATCATTTCTCTATAAGACAAGAAAAATTGATACGAAGCAATCGTTTATTCGAGTTAATTTGTTGAGTAAATTAGAAAGATAAACACCCGAAACATGAGAACAAATTATCATTGCACATGGACAATTTTCTGACATTGATTTACGGTATTAATCGATATTCGATTTTCGGTACTGATTTACTCTTTTCACTTCTCTATAAGAAACAGAAAATTAATACGAATCGTTCATTTATCCGCGTTTGTTTGATGGAAAAATTACGTATTGATCGGTCTTCGGTTTTCGATACTGATTTATACTCTCATTCTTTATAAGAAAAGAAAAATTGATACGGATCGTGCGTTTAACACAGTTATTTGTTAAGTAAATTAAAGGGGTAAGTACTGAAGAATAAGAACAAATTGTCATTGCACTGCGACAATTA